ACTGGAACACCTGAGACCACAAACAGACGGTTGAAAAAAATGACTACATCATCACTAAGTATCAGCTCTAGTTTTTTTGTTTTAGTAGAGGTTTTACAGCGCTCGCAACTGCATAAGGTCATATGAGCGCCAAGGGGTGGATGTCAACAGAGAAGTCCTTACAGGGAATCAGACTTACTCTGCTCACCTCTCTAGCTTCAACATCACAAAGTCAGCTTACACTATCAAGGCACCCCGGGAAATGTGGGTCACAAGAGTGTGACAAACATACAAAAGAAGTAGAGGAAAAAAATGACAATAGTAAGGATTAGGAACGAAAAAGCAGCAGTTCCCTGTTGTAGATTAGGCACAGTTATGAGCGTGACATTGATGAATCAGCCCATTTACAATTCTACTGTGCATTCAAACGAGAAATGTCCCCCCTTTGTGAATGGCCTAAAGACACTTCAGTCAGTGGCACCGTCCAGGGTAGTGAAGTAACAGCTCTCTCTTGAAACATTTTTTGACACTATTATAAACACGAACATGCACACTGAAGGTAAATGAAATGTAATTTTTAAGGTGACTGTAAGCAAGAAAGATCAAGTAGTTAATTGGAGTGACTATCTAAAGAAGTACAACTTTTTTTTACATTTGTAAAACATAATTTTTAAGAGCTGCTTTACACTATTTTATCCCAAATCATTCAATAATATCACAAAATAAGGTAAAGAACCTGATAATTCATCTCTAACAATTTTATACTTTGACAGCGAAATGTGAAAATGATATCAGTAACATTCTTGTGTTGGTGGTCTACTGGTTAAGCTCTCGGACTCTCACCTGTCGTGGGTTCAAATCTCATCAGGGGCCTGATGTTGTGTTCTTGAGAAAGGCATTTTATACGAATTTTCCCCCTTTCATTCAGGTGGAAATGAGTAACGGACAATAGACAGTGAAAAAGCTTGTCAGTATCCTAATGTTAGAGAGGGTGCAATCCAGTTTGCACCATATACTTCCCAGGAAGCTGTGGATGTTTGTAAGTGTTCGTAGGTCTGCTGGAATAATATTAGCTATAAAGCACATAAAGCATGGGACATGAGAGAGATGAAGCTCACTTGGAACAAGCTTGGAAGGATGGCCCAGGACAGAGATAAATGAAAGGAGCTTGTATGTGGCCTATACCCTGCCACGGGTGAAAGGCATTGATGACATAGAGCATGCTGCAGAGCGGAGATATCCACAGTATCAATGCAATTATTATTATCATTGTCTTTGAAACAATGAATTCGAAACTGAAAGAGTCGATACTTGAACAAAGATTAAACACAATGCAAACTGTACCTGAGATTTCACTACAGACACCAAATCATCAGGTATGTCACCCAAGGGATAAGCACGACCAGCAAGGCAACAGCTGTGGGAAACAGAGAGACAATGAGGTTTTAGATTACAATATGTAACTAGGTATGTAACTAATAATTTCTAGACCAAACTTCACCTAAACATTTTGTACCATAAGTCGTACTCTGTCAAAACCCATTAGGGGTAGCAAGTGTCACTCAACATGGCAGTACAACCAGAGGGGCAAGAACATTAAGAATATTAAGCTTAGAGATTTGATAGGCCTCCAAAATGGCAAGAGGGTGAATTTCTCACTAATCAGCCAACATGTGAATTTACTAGAGACAAGACAAAATAGAGTGGGCTTTCACCCGACTAAGACATTGGTCTGTAACGAATTGTCCAGATACCAAATTCAGAAGTTCTTAAATCTGTGACACTATGACATTGTAAATCTATAATTTGCCAGTAACTTTTAAACATCTTCCACTGTCAAAGAGTAAGTGCTTCAAAAACTGATAAATTGAAATTTCAAAAATATTTTGAGGCTGCGTATGTCACTCACTAGTGAAAGTGTAGCTTCACATACCTGATATATACCAAAAGCTTGTTGCCTAGTTTGATGTTCACATCTGCAATACATAGGCAAAAGTTGGTAAAATATCCAAGTTTTAAGTCAAATCAATCACATAAGAGACAACATGAAAAGTTTAGGCTATATCTTATCACAGAGATTTGTGGACTTCAATTTGTAAGGCAACATTTAAAAAAAATTCATTTAGCTGTAAACTTGCCCACACAGGAATAGGTCCAACGTCTTTCTGTGCCATTACAACATACAGACGTCTGTATTATCCAAATCTTATGCTTTTCAAAAGGCATGTTGCACATGACGGACAGCAATGTCAAAAGAGATAAAATATGACGAATATTTATTTGAGCATCTCTTTAAATTCTTGATGTATCAAAAAATATGCATAAAATATCTTCCCTTTATCTGAGGATTTTCAAGAATTACTATTTTTCATTCACAGAATTTCATAAGTAGAATTCATGAGATAAAAAAAGCCTTAACCCTATCTGTACGCCCTGGGGTCATTTTGTACCCCCGGGGTAAATTCTTCACATTTTAGAACACTTCTTGTGCGAAGATCTCTTTGAAACTTTCAGTATTTCTGAAAAAATAATTTTGACAGACTACTATGCAAAGGATACGGATCGGATTAACAAATTATTTCCTTTTTGGAAAGTCGTGGCTCAGAGTTCCCCATGTCGTATGGATACAATAGTAAAACACAACGTAGACCTACGGATAGGGTTAAAAAACTATAGGGGGGGCCTGCAGTACCGTTAAGTTGTTTCCCTGTGCTGAGTGCTGAGCCGAGCTGAACTAGGAGCTGCTCCAAGGGCGTGGTGAAATCAGCCATGCCTTTGTTGTACACGTAGATGATGGCGTCGTACAGGCCGTGGCTCCAGCACAGGTTCACCACCTGTCGTAGGGTACATAACATACGTATGAACCAGGCCCTTGTCAATGAATAAAGTACTCAACTACCTTTTAATTTTAGAAGATGTTTTACGGTACTCGCAACTGCATAAGGTTATATTAGCGCCAGAAGAATAGAGGTGATACAAGAGAGTAATAAACATAAAAAAGAAGGGGGAGGTAAGACAATAGATGTTTGATAGGAAAGATGGAGCAAACCACACCAGAGCACCCACCAACCACCCACCAACTATCTTTAATAGAAGTCAAGATAATTGTGATTGAAGAAGGTGGGGTCACCTGGTTTCAGAAGTACAATTAGCAAGAAAATGGAGGCCTAAATTTGGTGACTTCCAAAGCTTAAGAGTCCTTGGAAACAGCATGATTTCATTTTTTGTGCCTTTTATCAATTTTTTTTCCTGTAAAATCCTCACAGAAATGTTTTTTTCAAAGCCAAAAAGCAAAAATTTGATAAAAATTGCCAAACAAGCAGAAAAATGCAGTTTTTTTTCAAATTCATTATTTTGACAAATGCCTGATTTTACCACGCTGTCCCAATATAGTAAATATAAGCTTGATCCCATGCTGAATGATTCATTTGATCAGGTGGGTAGATGTGGGGCAGGGAGGGGGGGGGGGCATCGTTATTGTTGCGAGTCCCTTCAAACACTTGTATTAATGCAGATCCAATTGTAATAATGATAGAACTCCTACAATTTCGATTCCAGATATTTTCAACATGTCTTGGTTAACATTTTGCAGTCACATCTCGCCGATCAGCAATATTTACCAACCACTTTCTTAAAATTTTCCCCAAAATGCCTTTGCCTTTGATGGCAGGGCGGTTTACTATATGAGCCTTGTAATGGCAAAGTGTTAATGAGATTGGGACGGAAAAATGAAAACAGACTTCCAAGATCGACTTGCAGACCTTTTCAATAAGTTTTCACTTTACCAGAGAATGTGTTGGCCGAAACAAAAGAAAAAATGCTTCCAAATTCAAGATTAAGATGCTTTCTTACATGTATATTTTATACACAAAGTAAAAAGATTCTTTCTCTAAAACAATGAAGTTCTGCATAATTTTCATCACATAACAAAATATTTTTTATAATGCAATTAGTAAATAAGGTGAAATATGCAATGTTAATAATGTATGAGATTCTTTAAACTATTTTCAGGATGTAGGAAGGCACTGTTCCATGGCAAAAGCCATGCTGTATTGGTCTTTGTTTTACATCCTGTGATAACGGCACACTACTATTTGTGTAAATAAAATGCCTGTTGCCACGAGTGTCAAGGAATGATTGATGTCTCGCACTTTGTTGCTTCATTTTAAAATCTCTTCGGGTGTTGCACAAATGTCTTTGCTGCTACATCCTTCTCTTTCCTTTTACAATTTCAGTATCTGAGTACTTTATAAAAGCTCATTTGATTTGCTGTCCTAATGATTTATTGATTGGTTGGTTTTATGTTTATTGGTTGGTTTTATGTTTAATGACAATATGCACACAATTTGGTCAGCTGTTCTAATGGCTGAAATAGATAGGGCATGACCGCTGGCTACGAGCCGGTGCACTTTTTTTTTCCTTGAACGGTATTCTTATGTCACTCACCTGATGTATGTCCAAGCTCTGAATATCCAGGTGCACAATGCAAGACTCGACACTGTCCAGCAGTCCTCTCATCTCATAGTGGTCCACAAAGTCCTTCATCACCGCTGGAGGAATGGCTGTCAGTTTGTCAGTCTGCATGTATGGCTCCAGACATTCCAAGAACGTGCCTTTGGCTATCACGTCCGCTGCAAACCGTTCATAGATGCGATCGAACAACAGCTCTCTGCAAAGAACATTCATTGACAGGTCAAAAAGGGGTAAAATGGCATACGATATAAGAAGTGATATGAGACATAGCTTAAATGTCCAGTTCCTAGCCATTTCCTTGATAATAGGTCAACTTTAAAATAATAACCACCAGGGTGCCCAAGATACTAAATAGCAATGAAAAAGAGAAGGGAAAAAGAGAAAAAGGCAGGATGAAAGGGAGAAAGAGGGTGTGTGTGTGGGGGGAGGGGGCAGAGAGAAGGAGAACTGGAGAGAGGGAAGAAAAAGCATAAAGAGATGATAACACTTTAAAAGAATTAAAAATGTGATCAATCCAAGGTAAAGATTTTACATACAAAAGTCATTCACAGCTAAAATTCGCTCAAACAATGTGTAAAACATGGCAAGTCGTACTTTCTTTTCAAACAGAAAAACTAAAATTTGTAAAGCAAGTACTCATGCATTTCTCCTTTACATATAAAACACAACCTTATATCTTATGTTGATGTAAAAACTTCATATCGGCTGCTCAGTTTACAACTTCGTCATACATCACTTTTTAAAATGGCATATTGTGGAGCCTAACACTAAGCATACAATATAATTTCAAATACTTCATAGCACAAAAGACCGAACTCATCTGAGTTAAGTTGTTCAACTCACAGGTTCTCTAAATGAAGGCAGTAGTCCACGCACACTGGAACAATCTCCTGAAAAAGACAAAAATCATCTCTAAAATATAAAGTCCCTCGACCCAACTTCACAATATCAAAGTAAAAGACGATATGAATAAAACAGAGATCACTAAAAACTTTAGAAAAAACTAATAAATCATCGCAATTGTCAGAAAGGTCTAAACATACTAGATTACTTCTTGGTTCCACGCTCGCCCCTTGTTTAAACATAATCTTATTCAAAATGAAAGGAGCATGAAATTGATAGAAGCCTTATGGACATTACTTTACAAAAGAGGATTTATCAAAAGAGGTTTCAGCAGAGCCACTATCTGTCAGTTGTAGACATGACAGGATATCAAAACTACAAGTAAAACTGTGCTCAATAAAAGCCCTCATTTTGTCAAGAATAAGAACAGGACAACAGAAATACTGAACAAAAAAGTACAAAAAAGCTGCTGCTGCTACTGCCTCTGCTGCTACTGCTAATAATAATAATAATAATATTACTAATACTAATACTACTAATAATAGCAATAATGATAATATTAATAATGATCTGCATATATAGACCGCACATCCCTGCTCAACACAAGCTAAATGAGCTTTACAATTTACAATCTATATTGCCAACAAAACATTAACACCCACCTGGTAGTAATCCTCGAGCTCCTCAATCTTGCCATTGGACGGAGTCCTGCTCATAGACAGCTCAACATACTCCATCAGCAACTCCACTATCTGACAACAGAAGAAGGGAATGTTAGAAAGACCATCTTGTTCTTACTTTTTCCGAAACTTCCCCTACAACGTCATGTCCTCGGTTTAGATTTAGTAACGACTTTAATGGCACTTGTAACACAATTAGGTCATGTAAGCACTGAAGATTAGAGGTGTTACAAGTGAGTAACAAACATAAAAAAAGAAGGAGGAGAAATAAGGATAACAGATGTTTCATAGGAAAGAAGGAGCAAACCACACTAGAGCACCCACCAACCACACATACATCACGTCTATTTGGGACTAAAAAAACACGTCATTCTAACAAGACAAACAATAAATCTACTCATTCACACAAATATATCATCGCTGGTCACTGTGGTGTTACTAAGCTAAGGTGTAATCCGCCTATCTTATTCAAGGATATTCTCCACAAGCCAGTCATCCAGTAACAATTATAACTTTTAAAAGCTTGAGTTTTTCCTAATAACAGGCTGCCCTCACCACTCAGGTGAATGAGGAGATATATACAAAGACAGAATCATCCAACTTGCAAACAAATTAAGGACAGCATGTCAAACTAGGATTTCTCTGAGCTGCACCCTATTCATTTTGCTTGTTTTTTTGTGAGTTCTATAACAGATACATTATGAAATAAATAGCTATCTAAAAGTAGAATGCAATTCCCGTCTGTATTGGAAAAAAAGGATGGTAAACAACAACATGTCAAAACCAAGACACATGCGTAAGTCTTACGCAAAGAAAACAACAAAGTAGATTTTTAGTTGCTTCCACATCTTACATTAGGACCCAGTCATTTACTTTTGATAGTTAATTCAGACAATTCTAAAAAGGTACAAGGCACTTGTGCTATCACACCAATGACATGCACTTTTATAAGAGTAAACTGCCGATCCCAAACAACAAAATTAAAAAATAAAAGTCCTTGATATCACTACCAATACACTTCCAATGCAAAAACTCATAAAGCATTAATCGCATGCAAAAAAAAAAGCGAGCAATTCCAAATTTTTCTGTCTATTACATAGAGTTGGTACTAAAGGATTCAGGCAATTTTCTTGTGAGAAAGGTGACATATTCAATCATTCTGAGCAAAAGATCCCATCAAATCTAATGTCACTATCAAACCGGTCAAAAACCTTAAGAGATCTCAACTGGATGGACAAGTTCATTGTTTCAGATAGGCCACAGTTGTCACATCAGCACTACAGCACAATAGTAAGTAGAACTGATAGTGACAACTAAATTTTCCCACTGAAGGTGGATAGCAGGTCAAAAGCAACAACCCCCCCCCCCCCCAGCTAAATGCAAACAATCAATAATTTGGCCTTTAAAAAAATGTTTTTAGGGGTAACAATTAATCGTGTTTAAAAAATTCATACTATAGAGTAAACATGGGTAAAGTATGTACTTCACATTTCAAATTTAACTCAAGATTTTGTGGGAACCACAAGTGTGAATCCCAAGACAAAAGGCAGGATGAAAGTAAAACAAAAACAAACAGCAGAAGACCAACGTACCACATGCGAGACGAGTTCCTGCTTCTTCTGTCTGGTGCCTGTGAGGCCAATAACAGCTTTGGCGGTGCCATTGTAAAATGACAAGGCCAAAGCCAGAGCTTCTTGGTAGCGACTTTCCTTTGCTAGGACGGTGATCCTCTGCAAAATCATGAATGTTTATTTGTCAGCACCAAAGAAAATTACAGGGGCTCAATAATTAACTTGTAGCCATTAGTTTTTAACTTACTTCAACGCTTTATTAGACACAAATACTTCATTTTTGAAGGTGGACCCCATACTCCAGTTAGTTTTTTCCATCGACTGCTGATTAGACAGTGTATTTCGACATCCATCTTGCAGCCAAAGACTTAAAACAAAAAAAAACCTGTCTCACTCTCTCTCTCTCTCTCTCTCTCTCTCTCTCTCTCTCACTCTCTCTCTTTCTCTCACTGTCTCTCCCAAAATAACCGCCTGCAGGAACACATCGACAAGTACACCACACACACGCATGAAAGAACGAACACACAAATGCACGCATTCACGCAGGCACGCATACACACAGTACTAAAACTTCCACATGACAACTGACTGGTTATCCCCTCACCTCTCTCCAGGTCCTGAGTGAGAACATGTGAACAGCCTTAGTGCCCAGCAGGAACAGCTGTCCACTGTGACTGACAACCGACTGGTAGCAGGCCTGGTCACCAGCAAATGCCTGAAGGACAATCACAACACAGGAGTTAAACTACACTGTAGAGCACAAAATAACAGCTGTTTGGTGCCTTAGACCCACTTCAAAACTATAATTTCGTGAGCCTTAGTCCTGAACCCAATGGATCCTAGTGCACACCTGAGCAAGCCTTTGATGCCTCTACTCTTCTATATGGAACGCACACCACAGCAAGCAGGGCCAAGAATCTAGTAGTCAATCCAAGGGAGATCAGGTGCACAGATCCCAGTCTCAGAAGACCACAAATCAAAATAAGTAGAGTCCTACATGAGATGTAGTTAGCAATCAGAACAATAATTCTCTAATCTTCTATGTATAGTAACTTCAAAACTCTTCAACCATATCACAACAGGTACTGGAAGAGGCTACAACAAAATTGTTTCTCTGCAGCAAGGGCTGTCTGTTTACCTAATACATTTGGGATTTTCAAGGCTTGAGACTTCTATTTGTACGACTTCAAGCAAAGGAGAGTTTTGCAAACATTTTTACACTCCTCAAGACATAATGTATACCATTAAAGAAGACAGGCAGCTAAATACACATAAAGATAGGACCACAAGGAGACTAGTTCAAGATCCTGTCCCATACTGTAGTAGCTTTTCAGAGTACAAGAGCATATTCTAAATAAAAATTTTTTAAAGTTTTCCCTCACCAGAGCCTGACTGACATTTCCTCCTGTGGCCAGGGACTTGAAGTAGCTGGTGCCATACACCAGTTGTGTGCCTGCAACATCTATCACCTGTGAAATTACATATCTTTATTTGTCGGTTTGAGTAATGAGAAACACATCATCTTAATTACTGTATTACCTGACCTGGGCAACAACGTCATTGCACACCGGACAAGTCCTTTAGTGTTCAGTTCCTCCCTGCATCAAAGCCCGCAAGGTATCCATACTGAACTTAATTACAGTCATTAGGTGTAAGGAAAAAAGGGAAAAAGAGACAGGCAGGAAATAAAAGAGGGGAAAGTAACAAGGTAGGACCATTCAGCGGTGCCTTTCAACCACCTCAAACTACAAAATCAAAATCTGAAACTTTCAACAACAACCCCACAATACCGTCTGCAGTTCTATGGAATAGTCAATTGTAATAAACACCTTAATCGAACAAGGATTGGCAGAACTATTTAACAGTTTGGGATGCTAACAACAACATTAACAATAATAACAAGAAAACTTTGGGACATTCATTTTCTTTTTAATACAAAAAAGATATAAAAGAGAATGGAATGCTTGTACCATTGCTAAAGAACGATCCTTTCATTCGGTTTCAGTTGAAAGAAAAGACTCCAGTCAACCAGATCCAAGTCATTTGCAGCTTAACACCTTATCAAAGGTGACAGGTTTGTCACTTTTACCTTTCGTACCAAAAGAGGGCTCTGGCATTGTGGGAAAACCCCCTCCAGAGATAAACAGTTCAAGAAGCTATATAAGAATACATATAATAAACAAGACAAATACATAAAATGTAGTATCTTACTCTTAGATCAATGACTACTGACAACCCTTCCTTTGTCCCGATGACCAAAGAGAAACAGGACAATAAAAGTTAGTTAGAGTTTGAGGAACCTTCAACCCCGCAGAAAACAAGAAAAACACAATGCCCACCTAAAAATCAAAACTCATTAAAGTAAAAAGTACCACAAAAATCCAGGCAGACTTTCATTAACAGTTCTAATGTTTCTGAAAAGACATTTTGGTATCCAATCCACAAATAGACATCCAAGAATTATACACAGAAAAGTGACATTCCTAAAAGATATAATCCTAGTGCTAAGAACAAGCTATATTATCCTCTTTCAAACAAGATAAAACTTCTTCTGTTTCGTAGTAAGATGAGCCAGTCCTGGAAAGTGAGGCAAATCGGCACAAAAATAGACATAAGCTGCTGGAGAAAAAATTAAAACTTTCTTTTCAATCACATGCTTAGACAAACTTATTGCATTGAAAACAACAAATACCTACCTCCAGCTCTTCTTCTGAGCGTACATCAATCACATGCAGTTTTTCCGTACGATCCAAGCACACCAAAGTGCGAGCATTCATCCACTGGAGCAAAGGAAAAATAACATTTTTTAATGAGGAGGAGAGTACAGCTCAACAGCTATCAAAACTAAATTTGCCTTCAAGCTTTGATTCATTTAGCAATCAACTATGTATTGAAAATGCCAAAATTTCAGTGATTTTAATATAATTACAACATTTGAGTTGTCCATAGGCTTCATAAATTTAGTTCCTTAATCAACACAATTTAATACTTTAGGAACTGAGCTTCTTCAGCCCCACATGTCAGGGCATAACCAGGTAGAGTAGGATATAGTGGCCCAGCAAAAAGATGGAGATACTGGAAAAAATAGTCTTCCCTTTGTTGGAAACATCTCTTCCATGAGCAATGACCCTGAGCCTACTGCAAAATGTTAATACAATTTTCTACTTCTTTTAGAAAAGTTATAAAATGCTTTTAATTATTTAAACAATATTTTTTTTAGGGATTAAAGATTCCGGCTCTGATCCACCTCTCTTTCTTAAATCAAAAATTGTTTTTTTAATGTAGGCGTTTTTGTTACCTCATCGACACAATTTAGATTATTTAGGAGGCGGGCTTCTGACCCTGCCTGTCAGGGCCAACCCGGGCTGAGAGGGATACATCCAAGCAGAGAGATCAAACTACTTGCTAAAAATTTTCTCCCCACTTAGAAACTGAACTCAGGTCTCCTGCGTGTGACAGCGAATCACCTAACCGCAACATCACAGATGCCGGTGATCCACCTCTCTCTTCTTCTCTCTTCCTCTCCTGCTAAAATGGTTTCTCGCACGCAGTCAGTTGCTGTTTACATATTCTCAATTAATAGAATCTTACTTTGCAAAGGGTTCCCATGACGAAGGCAAAATTGGAAGCAATGCTTATGATAAAAAAGTGGAGGAGAATGACATGACCCTGCAACTTGACTTGAGGCAGCCTTTTAAAGTTGGTGATGTCTATCCACCTTTGTCTATTTTATCCTGTTATACATGTGTTGTACACTGTTATAACTTATCTCTTAAATAAATGTAAAAAATATATTTGGTACTGTTCTTTAGAATATAAGAGCCATTGGGTAAACAATAAATTTTTTTATGAAAGACCCCGAATAGTACATCACATAGAAATTTTCTTCTTTTAGTATTGCATACTTTGAGAAATACGGGATGCAGAGGGCTCAATGAGAAAAGGTTGACCACTATATAAGACTTATAAATTATGCCAACACAAAGACACACACCGTGATGCTCAGGAGCTGGTAAGGGACCTCCATCTTCTGGAGAGCAACAGCCCGTATGTCCTGGGGGCCTTGACAGATCACCTGAGTGAAAGACAGTAGGTCAGAGATAGTTTTCGGAGCACTAGTTACTATAAAAATGGGGAATTCACCACAAAAATGTTGATATATTGTAAGTTTGGGTCCTATTTTGAATGGGTTGTGAAACCCATCCAGAAATTTAACGGAAAACATCACCGTATTCAGAATATTTTTAGTATTTCTGGAACTCAACCCATCTTAGTAAAAATCTTTCAGGAGATGGTAGAAAAAATGGTAAAATAAACATTCTGTCATCACACTTCACTTTTGACAGAAATCCGATTTCTCATAGTCTCGGTTTGACAAAGCACACTTTCCGCACCCTTTTGTTAGGCCCACACATCAATATACAAAATATCTACATAAATATCAAGATCAAGATACATGTACGTAAAGAAGGCATCCTCATTATAAAGATATCTGACGTACAGCATGGAGAATTTTCTTAAAATATACCTGATAGAAGTAAATGGTCCTGTCTCTGGCAAAGGACAGTACTGGATCAATGACTCTGTCTTTCTCCGACACCTGGATGATGACAAACTGCCAAGCCAACAAAGGCAAGGTGGAACCGTCACCCTATAGAACAAAAACAGAAATTGGATTTAACAAACTTATTCTACAATTAAAATGTGGTGGGTTTTTATGTCAGAAGTTTGTACTGAAACATCATGCTCAGGAAATCTTTCAGGAAGATAATGCGAAAACTATAAACCACAAGGGTAATTGTTTGGAAGTGTATAAATGAAAACCATTTCTTTCTCCTCCAATTACAACTTTTTTAAAGACAAAGGTACAAAGAGAAGCAGGAGGAGGAAAAGGAGGCGGAGAAGGAGGAGGAGGAGGAGGAGGAGAAGAAGATAAGAGGAGAAGAAGATAAGAGGAGAAGAATAAGTAAAGAAGAATAACTAAGAGCAGGTTACCTTAAGGGGATAAGTGAACATCACTTTAAGATGAGGTCTCAAAGTCACCAACAAGACCTGAAAAACAAAAACATATATCCAATTACCATTAACACACATATCTCACGTTAAGATAATATTCATGCTTTTGAGGATGCTACTCCCTATGATAGATATTAACATTATGTGTCTCAAATACAAGCAGCTGCTATTTTTATCCACTCTTGAACAATTGAAAACTTTCAGTCTAAACCAATGAACAGCTTTAAGCTCTCAAAGTCATCAACGGCAGAAAAGATTTATTGAATACATGAACTGCAGTTGGTATTCACGAATTTTCTTTACTCAAAAATCAGTAAATTCTGTATAGATACCCCTTTGCTTTTTATGTGGATCAGAGCATCAACATTGTCCTCCCATTCTAAAAATAATTATATCAAGCAAAACTTCACATCAATATTCTAGCACAACTTTTAAAAGTAAGTTTAGTTTTAATTTCAGTTAAAGAAACCTCTTTAGACCATTCACAAGATATACGGAAAGGAAAGAAAAACTGGCATAAACTGGAAAAAAAGACTGCAAAAACAGTTCACCTTGGAAAATGAAGCCATGGCCAGAATCATAACATCCTGCATCGGATGGTCTTTTATGGTGTAGTTCATGTGTAGAGGCTCCACAGTGCATACTTCTCCGCGACTAACAGAAAGAGAAAACAGTGCAGGTATTGAGTAAACAGAAGCATATCGACACAATAACAGTCATGCAGTGGAGGGAAGAAGCAAAACAGATAGACAGAAATAGCAGAGGGAAAGGAAAGAAGTAGAACCTACCACTGCTGCCCTCATCAACTAACCATGATATCTGTACAAATAAAACAACAAACAAATAAACACATACAAATAATCACATCAAAGCTGATAAGACAAACCCCAGTGAACACTCATAAAATCATCATGTTACCATAGCAATTTGATATCACAAAAAAATTGTTGTGCGACAAGATTCCATTCACTACAGAAAGATCACAGACTCGGCATTTTAAAACAAGCAGTAGACAGGTGCTCAAAAGAGGAAAAGCATAAATTCTTCTGAGCACTCTATCAGCGAAAGCTGACACAAACTATTTCTTCAGTGATTGATGACCATTTTTCTCTATTTGGCAAAATACACAAAAGTCACATGATACAGATGGTATTCTTAAAACAGTCCAAAAGAAAAAAATGCAAGCAAAAGATTGAAAGACAAGATCTTGTTACCTGCCAGAAAACAAGCACTGTGATTCGCATGTCCTCACTCCAATCAGTCGTCTGAAGATAGACAAAGAAAACATTAAGAGACTTAGGACTGTCTGATTTTCACATAATGAAATTGTTTCACAAAGGTAACTGCATGTCTCAATTTTTTATCCATTTATTATTCAGAGCTGTTGAAAAAAGGTGAAAAATTGAAAATGTAAGACTTGAGAAAACCATACAGACAAAAAAAAAAAAAAGAAGACTGCACTTACTTGAACTCGAGCTCAAAAACAGATCCCCCACTGTCGCTACACACAGCAAGGACATAGCTATCTGTGAACTGCAGAGTGAATGGGAAAAGAAAAAATTAGACACATTGATAAACAGAAAAACTCATGTAGCAGAGTTTTCAAACACAAAGATAAAATATGGCGACATCACGTCATTTAAAGCATGGGATACTGCGTTCCTTTTTTTTTATACGTCGACCTAACGAAGGCACAACAACTTTGACCTTTCAGAAGCCCATTATGTACTAAAAATAGACATACACACAAAGTAACCAAAACCAATCAACATTATATCGAAAACAAAAATGATATGCACATACTGAAAGTGTCCTCATTAAAATATGACAACTGTAATTCGAGGGTCAGTTACTTCATGAAAAGAAATGTACATAAGTCATACCTAAAGATATGTATACCACTGTGCACAAAAACAGAAAACAAAGGCTAGCTGAAATCACACAAAATTTACCTACATACACATGAACACACACCAGAACAAAAATACAACCAGGAATAACAGCTGTAAGCAAGATTATGTAGCAACTTGTAATTTGGTCTGTTGTAATTAAAATCTATTTCAAAACTGTAACAAAGTAAGAAACCATTGCAAGAGGGACACACTTTATTCCTTTTCATCTTTTATTTCCCTCCCTTAACAGTAACTAACTTTCTTTTTTCTTGAACAACAAAACTAATACGTCGCTGCGCTTCTGTAAATCAGACAATCAAATCATCACAGCTGTGAACCTTCATCGCTTCTCCCGAGAATGCGTTAGGCCTGATTTTACCCATGGACAACTTGTATACAAGACAATCTTGGGCCATACATGTACGCAGTTGTGTCATAATAATATAAGCAAGTTATTGGCAACAGTTTATCCTTCATGATCTGTACCAGTCCCATGATAAATTTTGTGGTACTGAAGGGGTTAAGCTCAAGATTGGAACACTGACCTTGACATGTAGAACAGCTGTGCCAGGAGGGTGGGCATCAGTGATGGTACGGAGAAGTTTGCCCGTAGTCAAGTCCCACATAGTAATCTGGAAGGATAACAACTTAAGACATTTAAGGCTGTTTCAACATTATCAAAAGCAATAGCTCCTTCATAATTGAAAGCATTCTCAACACTTCCACTTTGAAAGCCCGCTACACTTTCAGACGGAGAAATTTTGAGAAACATGAAACAGAGAGCACATAACATTTTTTTAAAGTAAATTATAGCGAATAGACAAAACAGAGTGAGTCAATTAACAATGACTTTTTCACTCAACTCTATGAAAGTTGTAAATAGTGACATCCTATCAAAACAGTTTTATGAGGGGTTGGGGGGGGGGGGAGGGAGGTATATGTTCTGAAGATTATACATAAGGCTCATGATAGCCTTGAGTAATCACTCATCCTCTGATAGTGAAGAACTCATGAAAAACGATCAGCCAAAAAAAAAGGAAAAAAAAACAACAACCAATCAGCACTCTCACTAGTACCACTGCTCCAAGCAATGACAAACATAATCCAGTATGATCTCTAGCAGTCTGTAAGAGTGCAAGCATGTGTAAGCACCAGCGGTTTGCAGCTAGGCCAGATTTTTAAAAAAATACAACAACCATATTTCCCCAGGAATAGACAAGAACCACAGTCATTTAAGACTCAAACTGAAAAAGAAGTAGCAGGAGAACACCACAGTCCAGCACCCATAAATCACCCTCTGACCTGTCCACGTGCAAATCCACATAGCAGCCTGGTGCAGTCTCGGTTGAAGCTGAGAGCAGAGACGGAGCCATACTGAGCCCCAACAGCTGTACTGCCCAGACACCACTTCAGCACTTGTTTGGGGTCTGAAACATGCAGAGTTTGAGTTTGTCAGAGTAAAGAAAAATAAACACATCGATACAACAGTGGGCATTTAGTGCAGGGAAATGGCAAGAATGACAGACAGAAATAATAGACAAAAAGAAAGGAAAGAAGTAGGACCTACCTCAGTGGCACCCTCCGACCATCCACAAACACAAATGATAAAACTGCTCTTGTTACACAGTGGAAGAAATGTACTTCTAAAAAGTGACAAAAAGAATGAGGATCAAAAACATTTTAAAACTAGACAAAAATTAGAAGTTGACAAAGGCGTCTCAATGTGTGACACGTGGTTTCATGGCCAATGGGGGAAGAAAACTTCAATATAATAATATAATATGTAATCCTTCTCTGCACAGTTTATTGTATTGTTCAGCTCTCCAGCAGCCTCAAATTTGCAATCGCAGACAAAATTCTAAATAAAGATAGAGGTAGAAGGAGTGAAGCGAAAAGAAGAGACCAGAAAATGAAACAATAGCTTGTACTATGACCTTTCTACAAGGGAAGATATAGAATATGAAATGTTATTTTATCTCCTTAAACCAGCCTCAGCAGCAAAAATCAGATGAAATACAACTACATAATCCAAGCATCTCTCTCTCTCTCTCTCTGTCTCTCTCTCTCTCTCCCCCCCCCTCCCCTTCCTCTCTCTCTGTCTCTGTCTGTCTGTCTCCCTCTCTCTATTTCTCTCTCTGTTTCTCTATCACACTTTCTCTAAACAAGCACACACAGAATACACTCATACTCATAATAAATAAATAAATAAATAAATAAATAAATAAATAAATAAATAAATAAATAAATAAATAAATAAATAAATATTTTCCTACAATACACAACCATTCTCAACTATTCAAAAAATGGATGAAATAAGTTGGAATGAAAATAAAATAGACAAATCTTACATCTACTTATAAAATACTCACCAAAAACCAAAACCAGACCATGTGATGTGCCGATACCAATAAAAGACGAAACAACCTGAAATTAAAACAATAGAAAGCACTAAAATCCCAACCTATCTAAATCAGCAGTTGATAATTACAGATATAACAGACATTCATTTACAGTTTTCTAACAACCCATTAATGTCCATAAGAGAGTATGTGACACATAAGGCTGCATCCTGATCTGCTGATTAAAAAAAAGACTTTTTGTATTGAAAAGAAAGTCTCTTAATTTGACAAAAATCAACTGCAAATCTAAACAGGAGACATTTACTATGATAAAAGTGGTCGTTCAGCTATGCTCTTGGCTTTCAAATTTAGTTCAAATATGCTTCTACACCAAAGAATCGATACTAGACACAGAAAATCTAAATTCACCACAGTAAGAATTCAATACAAAACATTACAAATACATCGGTGACTGCAAACACACTCTATTACAACCTCCTTACAGTAAAAGTGTAAAAGTGTGGACATCATTCTATTTATTAAGGAGGCACGTAAAGCATGTTCGGTTTCCCACATGGAAAAGGATTAGGTGAAAAACACACAATATCGAGGTGAAACTTACCAAAGCAGTAGGCATCCCAGCATCCACTCGATCCTAAAAATACAATCAGAAATAAAATGAGAAAGAAATAAAACGAGAATTAAAATTCTGTTGACATAAAGTGATAAAGTGGTGGGAGAGACAAAAAGCATAATCGGCAGAGAAATTACTTTCAGATAATTTCTCCAAATTCAGTGTCAAAGACAGCCTTCGTCTGTTGAAAAGGGTAGGAATTCTTTGCTTTTGACTCATTTCAGGCATTGCTGTTTTTGGTCTGATACATATTATGTCTGCTGGGTACAGTACATGTATACACTTAGCTAAGGGGATACATTTCTTTGTCTAAAGAATCAGGATAGCTTCTCTTGAGCATCAAAGCTAAATAAGGCGTATCTTCACCTGTGAATAAGACACATTTGACTGATGATGCATTCCATAGCACTACTAGTAAAGTACTTCTTTTTTGTTCCCCCTCTAAATCTCAATGAAAGCCACTCCATCATTTATCTTACAGGACAACTGATTTTTACAGATGTGGCCATCCAGTTGATTAGAATAACAGTGTCCCTCTTTTTGTAGGGTGCCAAATGCTGCTCTCAAAGAAACTCTTTGAGCATTTATACTGACCTGAGTTTAATCAGTGTTAAATAGAGCATAATTAACAATTTTGTTCTGGCAACCAGCCTACTCTGGTCTACTTTTCTTTGATCTTCAACAGCTGAGGTCTCTTCCATGTCACAGAAAACGTGTTAACAAAAACATGCCCTTCTTTTATCTTATCCAAGAAATCCAGGTTACCAAATCCCACCTGAATTGGAATCAGAGAGAACAAAAAAAAACAGGGAAAAAACACACAGTTATCAATCAGCCAAACCAACTCGAACCAAGGATTGAACCAGGCACTTCGGCATGAGATACACCTCAGGGCTCACAAGCTCCCAAAGACCAACATAATAATGAACATGGTTTTCCTTTCAGACACACCAGCATGGAAATCACAGAGATAAAATAGCATTTTCCATTGACACCAGAGGGTTTGCAACAGTGAAAACAAAAGTTCACAGGGTTGGCTGTACATAATATTCTACACTCCAAAGTCAAAATGAAATCTCCAGGCTGATAATAACTAAAGTGTGGTGTTGATGCAAATAGGTAGACTTTTTGATGTTTTGGGAAAATCTCCTATTATTTTTTGGACCCACCCTAGACTAACATCAAAGAAGACGGGTTAGAACCTTAGTTTGCAGTGACCTTCAAAAATCAGTTTCTAGAATCTGTTGGTCATTCAACTTTTAGACCCGCATGCAAAGACCTGAGAAGATACAACACAGCTATTTGTTCTTATCTTGTTTTAGCCACGGTCAGACAAAAGTGAACAAGCCATAATAAGGGAACTTACCGCAGCAGACAACAACTGAGCTGAGACACTCTTCAGTTTGCTCGGTCGCAGCACAGATCCATGCACTGTGCCGACAGGCTTTTTTCCTCTGAAATGTTCAAACATATAAAACCAAAATTCACCAAGAACTGGAATGAAAAGAATATAGAATTCTATTTGCACAATACTCTTTCGGTTTCTTTTTTCCACTTTTCTTAATGATGACAAATCAGCAAGTTATTGTTTGAGTAGAGAGTGGCACATTGATACTGACAGCCATTATGTGGTGGGAAAGAAGCGAGAAAGATAAACAGACACAAAATTCGACAAGATAGTACAACAAACACACTTCACAAGAAACTGACATATACATACATACATACATAGCAAAAGTATGCAAACAAAAAGAAAAGGAAGCTGCTTACACTACAAACCACTCTTTTGTGCTACAAAAAACAGAGGCCACAATTAAACAACAAAGAAAACACAAAAATGAGTTTTAAAAAGACACAATGTTACATTTTAAGTCTTCGACTGACCTATCTTTACGCCGTGAGTCATGACTGTCCTGGCTAGACAGGGAAGACGTTTCCGCAGACTCCCCAGCTTGCAGCAGCTGCATGGTGCGAGCAGCTGCCGTTGACAGACCCAGCTCATCCTCTCCCAGGACTGAGCAGTCATCATCAGCCTGAGACAAAAGTATGATTCAAACATTAATTCAAAAATCACTGTACAAACATGAAATAAGTAGCCTACCAGCATATATAATGAAATCTTGCAATCTGCTCATAAAGCCAACTTGACAGAACTGTAATGTATGAAGTCACGTTTTAAACTCTTTGAAGTTGAAGACTAATGAGACCAATTTTATTAAAGTGTTTTGACAGCTGTTGACAGTTAATTCTCCTATTATGACAGTAAAGTACGCTAGGCATATATAAATATTTATACACAACTTATGCTTTAAATATGAAACAAAACCGGTAGCACTAGACACTTTTTCATTCCCGTTTGAAAAGCAAATATCCATAGGTGACTCATGTAATTAATGAATGATTTATGTAGTGGGTGATTTTGTGTCCAATTTTAGTCACATGAAAAACTTAGAATGTTGTTTTAAACATACTTTACTGATGGTTCTAATTTTATTTTTCAACTTGTGTACTATTCTTTTCATCTAAATTGTAATGTCAAAATGTCTAAAACACAATGTCAAATAAAAAATACAATTCATGAAGAACAAAAATAAATACGAAAGATGCATGGTTGTGCTACCCATACTTCAACAAAGCAAACACCATCACATGTATGCACACCAAATATGCAATTCTCAAGGCCACAAAACAATGCACACACCCTCCACTGGGAAAAAAAACACAATAAATTCCCTTTCTTCCTTACCACTATACTTTAGGCAATTTTTCTAAACTCATAATATTGAAATTACTTGCTTATTTATTATTCCTATTTCATTTTTACCTCATTCAAAATACTCTCTAATGTTGGCACATTGTCAACCTTTGGGATCTCAAACTCGGAGTCATCAAGCTGCAAAAGAAAAGTTATTGATAAACAGGGAATAAAGCAAAATTCAAAAATAGCCTGTCACTGACTTTCAATACTTGCATCATAAACATAAAATCTTTAGCAAAAAAATAAAATACTGACCAACTAAAGTGAAGTAAAGATTATCAAGCCAAATCATCATGAATCAAAAGCAACACATAGAATCAAAAGCAACACATAATATTATAATGCACATCACTATCACTTGCCTTTCTCAAAGGAATGAATCCAGGGTTGGCGAACCAAATTATATAAAATAGGCCAGAAAAAAAGTTACTAAAAATGCATAGCAAATCATCAGAAACTTTTACGAGGATTCGAAATCAAATGAAAGGTCGAGCACATTCAGCAAAAATTATCGATCCAAGACGAATGTTAGGTGTAAGGGTTGGATAAAGTGCAATTACACATTCAAAAAAAAAATGTTCATTCTTCCCATCATAAAATTCTACTGTCTATATGCATGTTTGAGGAAACAGACATTAAATTAAAGGGTCACTGTAAATGGATCAAACTTATCATCTGCGCTCTGTTGAAACCTTATCAACTCAAATTTTTGAATTTCTCAGGAGAAACAAAAAATTGGTAAGTATTGTACAGCGCTCGCAACTGCATAAGGTCAAATGAGTGCGCGGGACACATTTTATTAAACTTTTTCAGTTGGTAGGAAATTTTGAATTTTGCCCCGGTGGCGGCTGAAGCCTACTCTTATCGATTTTAGACCACCAAGGGATCTTTAACGTGCACAATTAGCACCCGGGCCCTCCGATATTTTTCGCCCTTGTCCGAGAAGGCTGGGGGTAGATCTTTCCTACCATAAGATCAGGGGTGTGGCAGAAAGACAGAGCTCAATAAGAAGGAGCCAAGAAGTAGCAGTACAAAGGCTGCAGAAAGAGTCAGGAGCCCAGAGGAGGGGGACAAAGTAGGTGAGGGGTCAGGGGCAGAAAGAGGACGAAAGCAGACGACAGAACATTGCTAGAGAGCAGGAAAGGAGGTGAAAGGAGACAATTTTAAAGAAGAACATTTTTTCGGTCGCTACCCGGATTCGTACCCGGGACCTTTGAATGAGAGGCCAACACCTTAACATCTATCTAGGCCACAAGAGCCCTTTTGTCATGTTTAAAGCTCTGAGTCCTTTGTCATGTTTAAAGCTCTTAGTGAGTCCTTTTATGATGTCCTGAAGGCCAGCTAGCAATGTTACATGTTTTTATAGTAAAAAAAAAAATTTTTCCGTCAACACATCAAGTGTGTGTAAGTGACCACAATGTGGAGTGAGGAGGAAAATAGCCAGAATACAGTTAGGCCTACTGTCAATTCGTCACAACTGATTTGAGAAGTGAAAAGGAAACCTAAAATTTGAGGCTGGATTAAAAAGCTCTAATTTTATCTATCAGGCTACTAAACTAAATGCTAGCCTAGATCAGTCCCAGCAAGTTCAATTTACACACAGGAGGAGTAGAACAGTCCGAGGCCTGATCACAGAGAAAGACACCTCTCTCCTTGTTGTATTAAATTTTGTCAGTTTATATTGGTCTTTGGGGCCATAAAATAGATCTAGTTAAAACTTAGTCTGTTAAATAATTAATTTTTTTTAAAAACTCATGCACCCGTCTCATGTACACGTTTTATACTTTTTTTCTAGTAACTAGTATTTTGCATGCTGAACACGAAATGTCCTTCATTTTTGCAGCAAATCAATAGTTATTGAGTTATTTGATCATGTTTGAAAACAACTAGGACAAGTGACGTAGTAATTTGGCTAATTTTTAACAACATGCGGGGTTTCAGGCCCCCCTGTCCTAAAAAGAAACTGGGGGGTTTCAGGGCGGCATGCCCCCCCCCTACCCCCAACTAGATTAAACAATGATTTGATGGTTTGGCAATTAGGATTGATATTTTTACTTGAAACAAATTGATTTGCAAGGGTTTTGGTGGCATACGGGTGAGTGTGTTCTGCAGCAAAAATTATGGCAGTTTAATCCTCAAATCAGTGCATCTGTGTGTGGGTGCATAAAAGTAAAAATTTAGCCTACCAATTATATTTGGCTGTGGCTATGCGTACGTCCCTCCCGTATACGCATAGCCTCATAGCTATGCGTACGTACGGCCCTCCCTCCCGTACGCATAGCGTCGTGGATATATATATGCGTACAGCCCTCACGCGTACGGCCCTCCCTACATACGGCCCTTAGATTAGATACAAGCATAGATGTACACTATAGGTTTAAAAGGGGGTAACTCTATGGATACGTAGAAGTACGCTCACGGCCTTGATAAATCGCTCAGATGGACCGCGTCACTTTATCGATTGATATTTTTGCCAAGACAAAGATCGATACATTATAACAAGATAGTTCACTCAGGCTATAATTGAGCCAATTAAACGGATTTTGCGATCAGAGTTACCTATTTGTGTGAAAATATATATATATAAAAGTGAAACTAACAAACTGTGCTATCCCTATTCTTTTCTGGTGAAACGAAAGAGCTTCAAAACAAAGACTGCAGCGCATCTGAACCAATGTGCGGACTTTCACGGACACCTTTTTGGCTGAGTGAACTATTTTGTTATAAAGTACAACTTTGGCCAAGAGACGTTCTACGAGATCAAGATAACTAGCAAAGTCATTGGTCCCTTTATAATTTTGACCTGTAATTTACCACGTCATTTTTCATATATCAGGAATGCTGGAATTTTCCATTGAAAAAAGGTCAGCGTCTATGCCCTTTATAGCTGCGCGCTTCCCAATCGAAGTAGGTCATCCCTATATATAGGGCCTGCGCGCTTCCCAGGTAGCCCGGCTCACGCCCTTTATAAAGGGCCTGCGCGCTTCCCAGGTAGCCCGGCTCACGCCCTTTATAAAGGGCCTGCGCCTTTCCAGGGTTTAAGTTTGCCCACTTGTAGCAGTACAGTTTGATAGTTTTAAATGTGCCGCCTACAAAGCCTAGCTTATATATATAATCATAGTGAAGTGGAGAGCCGTACATAGCCTCCATCCTATGCATACTGGAGGGCCGTACGCATAGCCACGAGGCTATGCGTACAGTAGCCGTACGCACAGCCACTTCGATTATATTATTTATATTTAACTACCAAAATGTTTTAATAATTCTAACACTTAGAACAGTAATATTTAAGTAGGCCCTACTAGATCGACTTTAAATAACTCTAAAAAACTCACAGGGAGACAGAAGAGTGACCGAACAACAACAAAAAATTACAAAGGGAAGAAAGAGAGAGAGAATTTAAGAAAGATAGAGAGAGAGAGACGGAGAGAGAGAGAGAGAGACAGAGAGAGAGAGAGAGAGACAGAGAGAGAGAGAGAGATAGAGGGAGAGAGAGAGGGGGGGGGGAGAGAGAGAGAGAGAGAGAGAGAGAGAGAGAGAGAGAGAGAGAGAGAGAGAGAGAGGAGAGAGAGACTGACTTAGACTAAGTTAAATTAGATTATATCTATATTATTAATATTTTAGAACTAGAAATCTAGATCTAATCTAAAATCTAGATCTAGATCTAGATTCAATTCTATAAAAGTAGAGGGAGAACAAGAGTTCCTGAGTCTGAGTATGACAATATATTATATTCAATATTGACAAGAGATTTTTGTTAGCGTAACAAGACAAGGGATAGATTTAGTTTCAGTGGTGACTGATAAAACGTCAAGCGGCAAACAAAACCATGCTTGGGCCATTTGCACAAAACTGTGCCAGTAGCATTATTAGCCTACCTCGTCAATATCAAACGACAAAGCACTTATTTTATCCGCCGAGGACAAACTCGGAGTGTCTGCTACGCCTTCTTCCGCCATGTTTATTTACTTCTCCATCGGC